ATTTATACAATCACTATTCTCGCTTTAATTAGTTTGTCTACCAGCAATTATTTAGCAATCTTAATATATTGCTGATTTCCGTTTCCTTAAGGCATATTTAAGTGTTGCTTAATTTTTTTTGTTGCAAAATGAGGTTATATATTAGTTAACAATTTTTTCTTTACAAAATAAATTACAAAATTGATTCAAATTTTTAATAAATTTTATATCAATTTATGGATGCAAAAATCATTTAAAATTGTATTTCTTAAATATTCAATGATAATAAATTTTAGTTATTTTTATCATTCATAATTTTTTTCTAATTATTTTAAAATTTCATATTTTTCATAATTAGAATAATATTTCATAATTGGAATAATTGCATCATGCATTCCATTGAATATATTAAATGCTGGTAAATTCTCGTTTCAATGTTGGTTAAAAAATCAACAAATGTTTGAAAAATTTATTAAGAAACTGGATATGGCCATCATATTAGTCACATTAGCAGATATGATAAGTTATGAAAGGAAGAAGATCTCATCTCTTCCCTTTCGACTACACATGGTTGTTGTTAAGATGAAGAGGTTTTTCCAAAGTTTTCCAAAAAGTCATTTGGCGATAGAAGTAGTGATCGTCAGCGCCGACGGATTTTTCTGAGCATTATTCTCATTAGGATTATTCTCACTATAATCAGATCGCTTGAACTTTCCTTTAAAGGTTAATTCGATAATCGCCTCCACGTTTAGAAAAAATAATTTCTATAGGTGCGAATGATTTCAGAAATCTTGTTCAATTCATTTACTAGTAATGTTCGACTTGGATTGTCCATTTGGATGTTTTACTTCAGTTTTCAGGTGACTTCCCGGCAATTATGGCTAATCCAAGCAATCAACGATGTTGTGCAATCAGAAAGGGTTGGACGTGATTAAGTGAGTAAATCATTGTGAGGAATATTAATATTTCTGAAAATATAGGAATTTAAATTTTTAAAATTACAGTAATAAGGAAAAGAATTCTTGTGGTCAGATGCCACTGTTAAAGATAACTTCTCATTTTTCTCTTATTTGCTCTTACCATTACTGGTTAGGCTGGATCCACTGGCTACAAGGGCGAGATTCGGTATAGTATCTTCCTCTGACAGAATAATAGAAGGCGTTAATCTCTTCGAATTCGAATTCTGCTTTTGCATTAGCAAAATCTCCATTTAACTAAATGCGAAAAGCACAAAAAAATCCCTGATAAAACAAACGAGGTTTTCGTGACAACGCTTTAGTAAAGAGAAGTTAGGATGATAAGAACGATTTATGAAAAGGATTGACTGCAATGAGATAAGTATAAGTAGGCTTAAACCGATGAAATATTATCATAATTGGTTGTAGGAAAAGAGAAAATATAAGAGAAAATATTTGACGACTTCCCATATCTTTATGATAGGCTTTTTTTGCATACAATAAATGAAATAAATAATCGGAATAGAAATTAGCTCAAAACAAGGAAAATCATAAATGCCTTTCCTTGTTTTTTGACAACTTCATGCCTTTGCAGCTACAGCAATCACTCTCTCAACACTTTTTCATCTTATATTTCAATTTTAGCGACTCTTATGGGATTTCAACCAATTCTAGTAGATCAACAACGGAGATTCTTAATGATAATAGCTCAATAAATAATTATTAAATTAAACAGTTCACTCACTAAGAGAAACAAAATAAATATGCAAAATTCGTCAACTTTTTCAAATGTGACCCTTGGCCCAGCTCTATGGTTGGGGCAATCTTTTTAGTGCTTAGTGAGGTCACCTAATGTTGTTTAATGAGTCAAAAGTCAGTCTGCGGTCACATATAATGTTGTTTAATGAGTTCAACAAAAAGTCAGTAAGTCAGTGTGGGGTCAACTATAATTTTGTTTAAATCACGTGTAACATACGTGTTAGATTTTCTATGTGGTTTTATCTAATTGAAAAATTATCCAATAAACGGCCAATGATCGATCACTCTTAAATGGGGCTTAAAAATTGCTTTGCCCTGTTCTTTTTGAATTGCTTTGTGGTTTTCTCTTTTTTTACTAGAATACAACAAGCTTTGGCGTTGTTAAGAAGATAAAGGGTAGGATACTGGAAAGTTTAAGGATAAATGACGAGACTTTAAGGGATGTCAAAAGAATCCGCACCGCATGCCAAGTTTTTAAAGGAGGTGGTTGAAAGTGAGTCAATGCCGTCGATTTGCAATTGTGATCAGCCTATTTAGGAGTTTTCATTAAAAGGAGGAAACGACTAACGACTAGCTTTTAGCTAAATGGAAGCAGGTTTCATGTGTCGGGAATCACTGTGTTCCTCTACAGGATTTTTAAAAAGCCATTTTATTCGATATTGGCATTATCCGTTTAAATTAATAATATTTTGTTATTTTGTTAATAGTTAAAAATTTTTTATGCGGGAAAGTTCAAAATCTTGGTAGTATATCATCAGATAACTTTTGTTCAACTGAATCGGTCCAGTAGAATTTCACTGTTTACCAGTAGTTATGAAATAGCATTTACATATCTATGCTAACGCTGAATTCCATTTCTGGATTTCTGTTTCAACTGTCTCCGTTGCCTGTCAACATGGTTAAAAATTTACTCAGGCAGTTTTATTAAATTTGCAGGTATTTTTCCCGACATTTTCCCACATCTCTAAATCATAAGTGTAACATACGTGTTAGTCCTTTCATGTGATTGTACCTAATACAAAGGTTATCCAATAAGCGAAAAATGATCAGTGGCACTCTGAAATGGGGCTTAGAAATGCTTTGTCTTTTTTGAATTGTCTTTGACTTTTTTGTGGTTTTCTCTTTCTTTACTACACTGTTTCTAACTGTACTGAATTTAAGCTTTAACTTACAGCGAGCGAATTTCAAGCGTACTTTCAATTACGAAGAAACCTTTCCATCCAAGCTTGACCGAGAAGTATAGAGGAATGAAGAAAATTGTCGAACCAATGCAATCGAGGTGCGCAGTTTTATTTGTAGCAAAATTTTAAATTATTTCGTAGATTTTTGCTACATTCACTCATTTTCTTCTTTCTTTTCCATTTTTTTTTTTGACTTTTGCCAGGAATTCTTTGCACATTCAAGGCTTTTTAGGTTTTAAATATAATATAAAGGTTATTTCTCTAATATAAAAAATCTCTTTTTTAGTTGCAAATCCGTGCCAATAATTAAACTGAGAAATATAAACGGCAGATATATCATCGTAAATAAGAAAGAATATCTGCTAGAAAATGAGGAATTTCGTGAAAATAAGGTAGGTGCGATTATATCATTTAGGCCGATATGTGTCTGTCCTTATCAGTTTTGATAATAAAGTATTTTAAAGCAGCTGCAGAAAGCGCCAATAGGGGAAAAATTGACGAGCCATGATTCAGGTGAAACTAAGAAAAAGTGGGACATCGAAAAATTCAGTTTGTTGCTCGAATAGTTAACCAGCGTCGAGCATTAGTGGAAAAGCAAAAAATTCTCGTCTACACGACAAACCTGCGCAAACCTCAGAACAGGAAAGGAGCGCAATTTCGCCGAATTCAAAAATTTGCCTCTGAAAGTGATTATTTTTCCTTTTATCCTAAAGATTTTCTTTATTATACTTTAATTGAGGAGCAAAAGAGATATTTAACCTTTTAAATTACCGAATATCGTTTTTTAAAAGCTAAAATATTTCCTGGTGCGATTAAAATGGCAAGGTCAGATCTGATGGAAAAGAACATTGAATATCAAGAATAAAGTAGATTTCAAGTAGATGGTGCGAAGATCTGTATTTTTTTAGAATACCATGCAACCCCCATTGCACCATTCATGCAATAACGGAACGTTGAATGGAGATTACTATTCCTCTAAACCAGTGAAACCAGAGATTATGGCTCTTGTTGATTTGTGGGAAATATTATATCCTATTTATCTCCACTGATTTCATTTTATTATATTCATATATTCATCTATTTATTTTATTTTTGTATATCTAATTTGTATCTAATATCTATTATATCTACTAATTTATTTGTTTGTGTATATAAATCATATCATTTACATCTACATTCCTGCCTGAAAATCTTACGAATCCATCAACATTTCTACTTTGGCTTTCTGGCAATGATGGCTAATCCAAGCAATCAACGATATTGTGCAAATCAGAAAATGGTTATGGTATATTTTACGGACCCGTCGAGCAGATAAAATATCACATGATCGCATCCATCTTCGTTCAAATACCACTTATATGAATAATGTTATTATCTAGCGTCGCCTTCGATGGTTGGGGCACGTACTCCATCGTCCACTACAAGAGTTTTCGTTACTAATCGACTTTGAAAGAACTTTTGCGTTGGTGGTTTTTTTGTTGATTCAAATCATTCTTCATGCATCATACATGGAGCCAATGCTTACTGCGAATGCAAATGGCATTTTAATGATATTTTTTCGCCTTTAATTCTTTTCCCTTCGATCAGTACTCACAATATTTCAAGTATATTTTGATAGCTCGTCTTAATCATGAAATCATTCAGAATTTAAGAATCGATGCTTTCTTAATGGAGAACTTATTCTCTGTCCAATAATGAAACCATACCTCGATATTTGTCCTAAATATTAAATATTTATAGCCGCATTTTCCACTAAAATATTTTTTTACAGGAATATTTGCAAGGATCACATAAACATTTAAAATATACGGATTCGCTATAATGTAAGATTTTATTTTGGTACTTTCGTGTTTCAAATGGAGAAAAAAGTTGGCTATCAATAAATGAATATGAAAATATTGAAATTTTTCCAGTTTTTTTATCGCACAGAGGCAATTTCGGATGGAAAAATTCGCGTAAACTTAACAATACTTAAATTGTTTGCGAATTTCCAGCTGAAAATCATAAAAAACGGCTTTTATGCTTTCAAAATTTTCACTTTATTTGCTTTAGAAGAGAAATTTATTTTTGCTTATAAATTTTCGAAAAATATCGCAATTTTTCATTGTTCATTCAGTAGTCGATTATGCTTTGCACTTGGCTTATTCTTTTTCATTTGCTGAAGCTTGGTTACTCTAATGATGAAGATATTGAAGTCTGTGTGAAGGAAGTTGGCGAACCGAAGAAAAAGCGTCCAACTGTAGATCCGAGTCACTGTTACGATGCGAAACCAGAAGTGTGTATAGCCTTATTTAAGAAACAAGATCAAACTTTCGCAAATAATCCAAAGCCGTAAGCATTTTTTGATGTCAAACAAATTGAACACAAAAGAATTTCAGCCACAGTTATTTGCTCATTACACAGTAATTTACAAGCATTTACGGTGACTTTTACTGCCTTAAATAGCACTTGATTTTGCACGCGATTAATTCTCAGAATTCAGCATTGGTCTTTCTTCAGCGATCAAGATTACAAAGTTCACCCAGGTTGCAAAGCAGATAAATATGCATCGCTCAGCGTAACGGAATGTGCAAGTTCGTGTGCAAAGTGCTGCTTAACGAAACAATTCAGTTGCACGAATGGTTAACGATTAGTTCGCTTTAATTTGCAGTTTTGAGTTTTCGTAGAAACTTATTTTCGTATTGTATTTTTGTATTTGCCAATTTATCAGGAAATAGCCATTTGTAATTGCAAATTATTTCACACATTCGGTAAATGATAATATAAAATGGACGTTTAATGATAGGTTTTTTTAATGAAATTTGCGAAAACTCGAATTACTCCGATTTTTTAAAAATATTTCAGATGCAGCTTCTCAGACTATATGTGAGCAGCTAGATTTCGTAAAGGACTGCAAAAATCCGGTTTTGTATCCACTATTTCTTGCTAGATGCCCAGCAGCATGTGGCATATGTGATCAGCCAGGTGCTCTAGGAGAATGCCCTGATAGAAGTGATATCTGTCCTAATATAATTGGCTTGGATCCTAATGCGTGTAACATGAGCAATGTGGCTGACATGTGCATGAAAAGCTGCAAATTAAAAACTTGTTTGCCAGGTAAATTTCAGTTTTTAGCTAAAGCCAAGATATACTGGCGATGTATATTTTCATTAGGACGATTAAACAATTTTTTTTCTAGAGTTTTTTTCTAGAGTTTGACCTCTGGATGTTCGTGGGCAATAATCGATTTTAGGTTCATCAATCTGCGAAGATAAAAGACCAAACTGTATTTCCTATCAACCATTCTGCAATAGCCAAAGATACGCAGATTTTCTGAAACGAGAATGCTGCCGCACTTGTTCGTTCGCTGAATATTATTAATAATTTCTATACTATTGAATGAATTGGCATTTTGCTGGCTTTCAGAATTTAACCGAATTTTAATTCAGATAAAATCTTATTAAAAAATTGATTAAATTTTATAAAATTTTTATATTGTCTCGATGCTCATCAACTGTTCGATTTCAGGTTCGGCACCTTCACCGAATTGCTTTGACAGCAGAACGAATTGCCAATCTTATAAACCCTTCTGCACTAATCTACGATATGCAGAAGTTCTTAGAAGACAGTGTTGCCATACTTGTACGGCTCTTTAGCAAATAATTTTTTATTATTTGAAACATTTTTCTTATTAATTGGATGCAATTTTTCATAATATATTTTAATTTTAATATATTTTAATCCATTTTGGATAAGTATTTTGCGAATATTTCACAAAATTTGTAATTGGCGCTTTTAAATTTTTTTAAATTCGGTGGTCAATATTTAATAAATTATCTGATTAAAAGAACGTTGAAACATTTCTATAGTTTCGCAAAATTTTTCATGTGGAACATTTATGCTGGAATCAAAAAAACTTTGTTGAAGGCTTAATGGGCGATATGTAAATGCTCCTTCAGTAGATGCTCTCGTTTTTACACATAATTTACCGTTACTTTCTTCTGCTGGAACCGTTTATAATAGAGTGCAAAGTAGCTAATTTCGACTAGAAGGGCACAGCTATACCCTTCTCCATATCTCACCCTGGCGATCTGACCTGCCCTACCTTGCAGTAATTGTATCCACTTATGAGAATTTCTATTTATGCCTCGTTAATATGAAAATCCAAGTTGTTCGCTAAAACTTCCGAGAAATATGTGAATGAAAGTGAAATGACTGTTCTTCGACGAATCACATTTTTGCTTACATTTACAAAAGATATTCGCTGGAAGAATTATATATAATTATCAATAATTAGTTGCATTAACAATTTATCACATCGTATCAGAGCAAACTGTTTGATAAATAATTTTGACTTTTAGCAACAAAAAGACTGATGGAAAAAGAATATTCATCTATCGATTCTTTTAAATTTTTTTCGCTTAAAGAGACTAATACTTGATCAGATCATTTCGCTATTCTCAACCAATATAGACGAATTTTTTAAATTAGCAATATTTTAATATTTCAATCGGAATTTGTAAATTCCACTCTGTTGATAATTGATAAAGAGAACGAATAAATTTCTCAATGGTACTACGGGAAAAAAACTATCTTAATTGTTCTCATTTAACTTTTAAATTCAGACCAAATCTTGTCATCTTCTTCTAAGGCCTTTTCAAATTCTGCTTTTTCGTTAGTAATTTCCTCAATTTACTCGTTTCCAGATTTCAGGAGCCTCAACGCTAATAGTTTCTGCTGTATTTCTATCTTTAATTGATATTTACAGACCGTTTTTATCACAACCTGAATGCACTGGTGCATTCACGCATTCATATAAGGTTGTAGAAACCGAAATTATGCTTCAGTGGAAAACCGAACGAAAAATTGTGCTGAAACAGACAAAAAATACTTTTGCATGGATGTAGGTTATAAAACGCGAAAAGTATGGAAAATATCTTTGCAAAAACTGGCCACGCTTCATTAAAATAGGGTTTGGTTGACATGAAGGAGAAGTTGGCGAAAATACTTTGATAATTGATAAAGAGAATGCAGATATTTTTGCAGATATTTGCAGATATTTTTGCAGATATTTTTTTCTTTTTCTTTGCAGATATTTTTTTCTTTTTTATTTTTCAACGATTTTTCTATTTTCATTTTTTATTTTTGCAGATATTTTTTTCTTTTTTATTTTTCAACGATTTTTCTATTTTCATTTTTTATTTACTTTTCCTATAAAATTCTGCAATAATTAATTCTCTGTTAATTTGCAATATTCCTATTCTAATATTTTTTTTTAAAATTCATTTGGGCGGTGCTTTTATTCAAATATTTTATATTTTATAAAATTAATAGATTATTTAAATAAGATAATGAATTGTTTTAATGAAAGTAACTTCGAATTAATTTTATAAGTCTGAAATATTTCGAATAAAATATTCCTATTGAAAGTTGAATAAGATGGCAATGATTAATAGAAAACCGTTGAACGATTGAAGGACAGCTGCTAAAATATGAATTTATCAAAAAACAAGGAAAAAGTTCCATTTTATGAGTGTAAAAAACGCTTCATGGAGGCGCATGAACAATCCTATCATTTATGGGAACTGTGAAAATTGATTGTTGGCTAACATGCAGAGAATGGGATCCATCAATGACTGGATGACGTCCAAAATATATTAAAATGTAGGCACCGTGTGGGATGCTTGCGACACATATGGCCGCAAACAACAAAACTCAAAATTGCGAATTCCTTTCATATGCGTCAATGTGCGTTATGATAGAAACTTCGGAAGATATGATTTGCCCCTCCTCGCACTACAAAAAAAAAAACACTACGGACGTTACCAATGAATTTTGGGACTGTTAAGTGAAATCGTATTGTATTTCGGAGAATAACTTCAAAGATTCCGTTTTTTTAGCTTTTTCTAGTTTTTTAACATTTTTCAAACACATGGAATTTGTCTATAAATTTTCACGTATGAATTTCTTCTTAGAAGCAATTATTTTATGATTTATTTACGTCCGTTCACTTAAAATTTTTCATTTAATAATGAAAATATTAAAATATTAAATAAATGTTAAACATTAAAAAAATAATAAAATTAATAATCATACTTGTTTAAAGGACTGAAATATTTCTCAAAAACTATAAAACTGCTCTTTATTTAGGAACACTCAAACAAAAATACTGGGGAAAAGTGTCATTTCATCCTCAATTAAGTTCATTCAGTTATTTTTCCACTTTTATAATAATTATGGCAAATATATTTTAGTTCAAAGATATTCGAAGATATATATTTTAAAATCAAATATGAAGGAAATAAATAGTAGTTTCAGCGAGGACGATGAATGTACTCGTAAATTTCGCTGGTAAAAACTTAATAATAAGATGGAGGGCATTTGCTGTCATTTATACCTATTTCATTGAGATACTTTTATTAGTGGTGACAGATCCAGGATAAAGCATCTCAATGCTACTAAAATGGTATAAATTATCAGTTAGGGAATCGACTGATAAGATCATCAACAAGATTAACAACTCAAGTTGAGAACCTTTTATTCCGCCTATTTCCGCCCATAAATCGTCTATGCAAAGAAGCCGAGCTTTTAACCAGGTGAAGAACTTGGCAGCTTAGAGCGAACAGAGTAAATAAAGAAAGCAATCAAATCTTTTAATTAATAATAATAGGTCAAAATAATTTTTTAAAAATGAAAGGTAATTTACAAATGAAAAATCTAAATCGAAATTTTTTCAAATATATTTAAAATATTTTTTAAAACTTAGCAGATTTTTAGAAACTAAACGGTCGATTTTTTGCGTTTCCTTTGTTGAATGATCGAATTTTCAATTTAGCTGTCGAAAAAATTAAAAAACAATTTGTTTTAGTGCATCGACCAAATTATTTCATCAAAGATTGTCTTATTAAAATCTTTGATACAAAGAAAATTGTACAATAAATAAGTAATAATCGACTGGAATAACAACTAAAAAGAAAAAGTTTATCATTCGCTTCAGCTATAAAATCAGTTCAGAAAAAATTTAGACATTATTCTTATTGAACGTGTAAAAAAATTCTTTTACTCGAATATGAAGCAATTTAATCATCCATAAGATTTGATAAATCATTTATTTATCACACAGATGTTGAACCCCTAATTAATTATAAATCCAAATTCCCAATCACCTTTGAACGAAAAGAGGAATTAAACGAAATTTAATTATTTTTAGATTTCATTTAGTTAAAAGTGCATTAATTTATTTCGAATTACGCTACAAATGGACTGAAAACTTCAAAGACTAATACACTATTTCTCTCATATTTTTCATCATGAAAAGAATTCAACAAGTCCATGGTACATGTCTGTGCTAAGACG